ATTTTCTTTAAAGGCCGTTTAATGGCCGAAGCTTTGTGATCATCATCTCTGTGGCAGCCTCCCCAGTTCAGCCTCTGGTTTTCCTCTGCTGGGTTTGCAAAGGAGAAGGTGCATTTCATATGTCCTCTTGGGTCTGAATGTGGCGGCTGACTCTTCATGCCATTTACAGCCAGTCCTACCATACGCTTCTACCCTCTCAAGCTCTCATCTGTCCTCCATACGAAAGGTGCTGGGCTGGACTCTACCTGACTGTCATGAGAAGCTCTATACTTTCCTCTATTGCTGTGCACTTTTTAATTTCTCAGAGCACAAGCAGTCATTGAAAAGTTGGAAGTAACTCAAGAAAATTAATTATAACTTAGGGAGAAATGAATTCTAAAATTGCATCTTCAATATGTCTGTTTCCTGGTCCAATGGAAGAGGGTAAAAAAGAAACAGACAAGTTAAGTCCTTGGCAGGTTCTTATTTAAGTGTACATTTTCTGTGCCTTGCTCTTCTTTCCCGCCCCTCATCTCCAATGTTCACTGACATCCTTTTTAGTAAAACTCTATTGTCCTCCCCTACTGGGACTTGTCTTGCTCTAGTTTCCGTGTATTTCTTCTAAATGTGTAATCAGTAAAATGAAATACTCTCCAGCCATGTATTTGAACTCTCTAAGATGCTCAGTTTGAGCAACATGCTATGACCATAGCCGAGGGTAGCAGAGATGGAGTGGGCTTTGGCATTTCAAATGATGAGTGTCCTAGTGTTTCCAGGAGAGTTGGGTCTTTTCATCCTTCCTGTGGGAAATCAATACTAATGGACAAAGTGTGTGTGTGTGTGTGTGTGTGTGTGTGTGTGTGTGTGTTGTGGTGTGTATGTTGTGGTGTGTGTATGGATGTATAGTTGTATGTACATTCACACACTTTCAGGAGGATGGACATAAATCTCACAGCCGACAAGGCTGAACTCATAACATGCTTGTTATATGTTATATAAGAAGCTGAGATACACTTTTTATCAATAAGCACAGCCATGTTAGTTCTCTCTAGATTACTTCAGCAGATACCCTGGATTTCCAATGTAAATGTTAATAAAAAGACTCCATACCGGATTCTCTTGATGATCCTTGGCCTTTGCAACTAAAGGGCATTTTTAAAAAGTCATTTTAGTTCTCCATGCATGTATTGCACACCGGTTGCTTTCATTCCTACAGAAAGCCTAGAAAAGTAGATGCAATTCTATTTGCATGATAGATCATGGAAGAGTGTTATGTAGCTTAAACCATTCAGACAAGGTCACATGACTTAAAATCTGACTGCATGATTTCAAAGTCCGTGCTATTTTTTTTTTAAGTAACATTGTATTTCATAAGAAATTCAATATCATGAGACCAGGTCAGGACTGCTTCAATTTACACAAGTGTGCAAATAGTTTACAGCAATAAAAAATAAATGCTTAGATTAAACCCCCACCAATTCTTTTTTTGTTTGTTTGTTTCTGGTTTTGTTTTTCAAGCAAAGGAAGGGTTACTCAGATTTGAATATCTTCATAATTAAACAGAACAGGATTTGGGGATATGTTAGGCAAACGCGAAGTTCCAATACTGTAGTAGAAAATGGTTACAGAGGAAAAAAAGACTCTTGCTATGTAGCTCAAGCTGACTTTAAATTGACTTTGGCTCTCTTAGTGCTGACCTGTGTTATTATAGACGCATGCTACCACGCCTGGGAGATTTTCCTTTCTAATGCATGGACATAGAGCTCCAATTGCCCGTCAACACAGATATGCCTGTGCTCCACATATTTCATTATGCTTTACCATTCAATAAATAGAAACAAAAATTCCCTTGGGGATTCTTCTTTGATTCCTGGGTTATATAGAACTATCCAAGTATTTGAATATTCCCCCACCATTTTTCTGTTAATAATTTCTAACTTGATTTCATTATAGCTGTAGAAAATTATCCACACAGTTTACTTTCTTTTGTATTTGCTGAAGTCTTTTTCTGTGAAGCAGGATGTAAGATGTGTTGGTGTGTGTACCAAGGCCATTAAAAGCACTGTGCTTTTTTCTGTTCTTAGGTGATGCTGCACAGATAGGAGTTTGCGCCTGATGGTTGGTGATATCATCGATTCTCAGTGATCTGTCTATGTATTTGTTCTATCATTGGTTAATAAAAAGTTTTGAAGCTGTCGGTCATTGCATATTTACCTACTCCTTCTCTGCTTCTCCTTGTTTTATATTACATGCTCTAAGTTCTGATGTTTTATGCACATATATTTGTTTTCTGGTTACGTTGACCATATAACATCATATAACATATAACATCCCTACCATATCTGGCATTTTATTTTTGTTCTGATGTTTATTTTAGCTGACATTAATTTAGCTACCTTTGCTCTTTCCCCCAACAGTTTTTATGATGATATATCTATCTTTCTTCCATCCTTTAATCTTAAGATATCTGAGTCTTATAATTGAAGTTATTTTCTTAAAGACAACATATAGTTGAATGACATTAAAAAAACTATTTTGATACACAGAGAATTGCTGTGTATCGGGTAGAAAAAAAGAAAAAACTATTTTGCCAACTTTTTTCAAATACAAATTACTCTTATTTTTATTTTATGCAAGTATATGTTTATTCTCTAGTTCCAAGCATTGACACCAAGGTCTTGTGCATACTTTGCCTTCCCTTAACCACTGAGATAAACCTTCAACCTAATGTTACTCATTATTGTCCTGGTAGAGTTTGAACATGCTATTTTATTTTAGTTTGCGATATATTATTTTGGTGTTTCTTCCTCTTTTTGTTTTCTTTTGTATAACTCGTGAGCATTTTCACAATCCATTTTGATTTTTCTCCAAGGCTTTTTCAGTTAAACCCTTTTGCAGAGAACTGAGTGGTTGGGTTGGGTATTACACTGTCGATGTTCACACCCCCTGTGGTGCCATCCTTGCGTTGTCTTATTAGCGAAAGTGCAATTTAGGAACTTTACCATTTCCCTTTTCCCTCCCCCTTTTTTAATTGTCCTAAGTGTATTCCATGCATGTATACTAGAATAACATCCGATGTTATGATATTCTCTCTCCCTGTGAAGAGTTCTTAGAAAATGCAGGAATGGAAGAAAAATCCGTTATACTCACACCTATGATTTTGCTCACTTATTTTTTTTTTTTCTGTTTTAGTTTGGTGTGCCAATGTTCCTTCTTTTGTTGTTTTATTTCCGTTTAAAATTTTCTTCAAACATTTATCAAGGTGGATCCCACAATATCATCTTTCAGGCTACGTTACCTGTGAACATCTTGATTTCCCCTTCACTTTTGAAATATATTCTAGTAGGACATAGGACTCTGGGATGACCACTCTTTTCTTTCAGTACCTGAGAAACGTACTGTTGTTCTCTCTGGCTTCTCCTCTGACTTCTGCGGTCATTTGAGTTATTTTCTGTTACAATGAAACAAACATTATTTCCTGTCCCAAGGATTCCCCATTCCTTGTTTTCAGAAGTCAGAGGCTGATATGTCCTGTCCTGTATTTCTTTAGTTTTTTCCTAGGGATTTTTCTCGGCTTCTAGATGCTTTAAGGCTGTGTGTTCTGTCTGACTTGGACAGTCTTCAGTCATTAGAGCCAAACCATTTCCCAGCACTTGCTTTGGTAACCTTCTGGAGACAGGGATGCTAGATCTCTTGTCACAGTTCCACAGGTCTCCCAGGCTCCATTTGCTTATTATTTCACTCTAGTGACTCTCCATTATTTAGATCGCACTATCTGCACTGTCTCTAATTCCAGGGCTCTGTTTATTTCCTCAGTCATCCCTAGTATGCTATCAAGCTCAGCCATTGAATTTTTTGTTGTTTACTATTATACTTTTTCAATTCTAGCATTATCTTCCCATTTCTCCTTATGTTTTCTATTTCCTTGCTGGATTTTTTTTTCCTTTATTTTCCTTCCTGCCTTCCTCTTGCTCATTCCCCTCCCCCTTTGATATTAGGTGTAGAATTTTCTTGTACTGCCCAGATTGACCACAAATTTCTGGGGCTTGAAGGATCCCCCTTCCCAGCGTCCTAAATACTCTGCAAGCCTTTAAACTGCCCCCCCCCAGTTTGTGTTTTTCATTTGTTTCGAGTATATTTGTAATTGTTAAAGAATTTTTTGACGACTACTTTTAAATCTGTGAGATGATCCTGCCATCGATCTTGCCTCCTATTGATTGTACATCACTCAATCGAGGTTGACTTGTTTTTTGACAAGGAACTTTAAAACTGGAATCTTTGCATATTATTCTGTGAGAATGTGGATAGTATTTAAGGTTTTGGTCTCACTGGGCTCTCTCTACCTCACTCCAGCAAGGTAAAGGAAAGTGCAAGTAGCAATGAACACACCCAGATTCTTCATTCAGCACCAAGGGGTGGAGGTTCGTGACTGTCACTACTGATGCCACTTGGATAGAATCATTTTGTTCCTGTTCCCTGACATATTTATGATACCAACTCCACGGGCAGAGGATGACATACAGATGCCGTATGGATGTACAAATGGGAGGGACTTCCCATGTGTCTGCCCCTGCTGCTTTAAGGGGCAGGACACTTTCTGTTCCTCACTCAACCTTCACTGACACTACCCAGGTTGTGGGCCTTTGAGCTCACACAGGCAGCAAAGGTGAAGTTCTAGCATCCCTGCTTGACCTCTGCTCATCCAGGTCAAGGGAAACTTTTGAAAACGAATTGATCCATTGGAGTTTTGTTGGAGTAGACTGGTTAGTTCTGCAATGTTACCATGTTGCTATAGAATGAGACTTTGTTGGTGTCTTCTTCCTGCCTTCACTATACTTCTAGGCCATTATCTTCTCTGACATCACCTCTGTGGTTTGTGATATATAAAGAAATTCTACAAATAAACAATTAGGGCTGGTTTCCAGTATCCTTTACTGGTGTTTCTTTATCTACTTAACAGTTTTTTTTTATATTTGTTTAATAGTTAATGTCCAGAATTTGGTGTCATGTTTTGCTGGAGGGCTAGGAAAAGGCCCTTCTACTTCACCTTCCCTGACACATTTCTTCATTTAATTTTAACCACAATGAAGAGAAAACTAGTTTAATGATAGTTTTTAGATGATAATATACTGTATCATCTTACAGTTAATTTTTATTGATCATATTCAGAGGTTTTCACACGTCCAGTCATATTGAGCTTCATTCTTCTTTACACATGCGCAATATCTCACTAAGCAAAATGTCATTACTTCTTTATCCAGGCTCTTACTAATAAACTTAGCTTTCACAATGATGTTGCAATGAATAACATTGCATATATTATTTCACTGCAGTTATTTCAGTAAAAAGTTACCAAATATTAAACTCAACTACTGTGTTTCATAATAGGTAAATCAGAAGTACAAGGTGCTCCTTTTGGGTCCACTAAATTTTCTTTCTTTATAAAAACAAACTGTAAGTCCCATGGCTTACTGGCCACTATTTCTCTCTCACAGTGTCAACGAATGTCCTGATGTCATCTGCAGGTCTTTGGCTGAGCAAGGAATTCTTTAATTCTCTTCCAGTTCAGGGTCCCTGAGTTGGTGAGGCTTGTGGACAAGTTGGTGCCTACCGGTCTTAGAGTCTTCCAGTCTTTTTGCACATTAATTAATATCTGTATTTGATGATTTGTGTATATGTGAGGAGTTTCAGAGAAGTTTACAGGAGCATGTGTTCTTAAAACAACAACAACAAAAAAAAAAACTTTTCCTAGAGGAAAAAGATACACAGATCAGTGAAAATAGACAACAAACACAGTTTTCATGACTTACTGTAAATATTTTCAGAATTAATTTCTTTTTGTTCTTCAACAGAAATCACAAAATCAAGCAAGACTTGTAAGCACATCCTTTAGCATCATCTTAAGAAGGGACAGTAGTTTGTACGCATCTTAATGAAGATCCACAAATAACGATGACATTTCTTTGTTGATTATACTTCCGTGATGGGACCATTATGACCATCAGGCCCTATGGATGAAAATTGCAGAAATTTCTCCTCTATTGAACATGGGACTAAATTTTGCAAGTTTGCAATTCCAAGCCTAATTTTGCCATATAATAAACATACCCTCAGAGATTCACAGAGAGGACTGTAGGCTATTAAGAAACCAAATTATAACTGCACAATTACTTATCTGCCTATTTAGTTGGCCTTAAACTCCTGGGGTGAGGAGGGAAAGGAAGACTATATCTCCTCTGTTTCTGTGCCTCAGTATGTAACAGAGATCCGGTACATACCATGTCTTCAATACGCCCGAATGAGAGTGGGTGTGAAGATTCTTACTGCTCTGTGGAGATCCCTTTACATGAATGTAGATCCATTACCACAACACCTTTCTAATTTCCCAAGAAAACAATTCTGTCAGAGAACTGCATTTGTTCTACTTGGTGGGTCTCTTAGGAAGGGGCACCAGAGAAAGAGCCAGGGGTTCTTAAATGCCACATCTTTGATACGAGGACACCGTCCAAGCCCAATGTCGTCTATTATCAGTCTGAGATATGGGGAAGTTGGCATTGTATGCTAAACTACGTTTTCCAGATCTGTAGAAACAACTGGCTCTATTTTGTCTATGCCTTAGTCTTATTTCTCAGTTGTTTGGAGTGGGGTAGCGAGAACTGTAAGGCCAACCTCAGAATTAGAGATGAAGGAACGGAGGCCCACAGAATTGAAGCTAACTAGCAGAATCCAATGATTAGTTTTTGAGTACGTGTGATATAAGGAACACGCACGTAAAACACAGCTCAGAGATTTCTGAAGCAGTTAGCGGTCAGCCTGAAGCCCCACAGCAAACTACTGCCAGAGCGGAAGCTGGGAGGGGATCTCTCTTGCTATGCTTACAGACTTTCATCTAGTCTCGTTTCCTGTTTCCTTACTCCACTCCTTTCCATCCTCTTTGATGATATAATTAAGAGCAAGATTTTCCTAATCACAGGCTTTAATCATCTGACCTACCCTTATGCTCCTGCACCGGGAGGAGCCCTTTAGTCCTTTCTAAACGTCAGTTTATAAAGCGACTCTTGGCAACCAGACCCAGTAGAGAGAGGTGAGACATCCAAGTCCTGTTTACAGGCTTTACAAGTCTTTTCAGTGGAAATGTCCTCTTCGTGGCTGATTACAATCTACCAGATGACTGGAACCAGCTTCTGAAAGAGCAACACGAAGTTCCAAGTTAGAGAAAAGCTACCCTCCAGGAGGTCTTCCTGGGGTCATCTCGCCCCCTCTTGGTAAAAAGCAGTGAATACTGACTAAACATCTGTTAGAGTGTAAATCTCAGGGAGCATCCAGCGTCGAGAAATAGACCGCTTATCCCAGCACCATGTGGAGAGTGTTTAGCAATGAAAGAATACTGAGTGACAGGATTCGGGGTACCATCTCTGGTGACGCTGGCCTCTAAGGACATCAAGGGATGAGTCTGGCTGCTCTGTGCATCCACTGCGGTGATGAGAGTAGAGACAAATGTGAACCATACTCTCTCCGATGAGAGCTGAAGGGAAGCCTGAAACTCCCACTTAAGCTTGTACCCCCCATTTCCAGCCTCGTACCTGACAGCCATGGTCTGTAATTCAGACACATTCCATCCAAGCTTTTTCTGCCTCCCTCCCCAACACAGCCTATGGCATTCCTCACCTTTTACTTAAATGGCTGGTTAAGTATTTTGAGACGTTAAGTTTATTTTTATTCCCACTTGGTGCTTATCCTTACGCGACAGGGGATGCCAGGCATAGCCCTCAACTACATTTAGTTGTCCAAAGCCTGGATCCCAGAAAGAGAACCGAGTTTTCTGGCAAAGCAACTGGAAAGATAGAAGGAAGAGAAAAGGCTTTCCTGAGAGAGGTTTTCTTGTATCTGGAAAGGAGGACAAGAAAGAAGCCGCAGATCTTGGGATGCTGCGATTTGAGGCCTGCCTCAAAGAACACCATAAGTTCCTAAAGTTGAGTGACTGAAGATGTGGGAAGCTTTCCAGCCAGCATGGTTCCAGATCCGAATATGGCTTTGGTTTTAAGTACTGAACAGAGGAAAAGAGCCAGTCATGGTGAAGCACACCTTTAATTTCAATACTTGAGAGGCAGAGACAGGAGGATCTCCATGAGTTCAAGGGCAGCCTGGTCTACATAATGAGTTCTAGGCAGGTCAGGGCTAAACAGAGAGACCCTGTCTCAAAAAGCAAAACAAGGACTGGAAAAGACCTGAAAAGAGGGATCATATGTTTAAATCAGGGTCATGCCTTTTATGACATGCATTCTGCAATATTTGGCTCTACTAGGTGGTAGTTGATTAGAGAGCCTACAGGACACCTGTGGGTACCAGGGCAGGAGGAGCGGAGACTCTGTGGTACATTTGCCTTTTCTCCTTGCCATAGATGCTTCCTTGGCAGTCATCTTTTACTCCTGTGGAGGCTGCTTGTGCCACCTGACCCCACAGGAGCCTCGGCTTGCATTTCCCCTGTCGGGGATGTGGTTACTAGCATCTCAGTCTCTTCACTTTGGGAGACACTGCGTAGCCTCTGAGACCTTCACTGCGTCCAGTCACAGTGCTGGTAGACATCGACGTGGGCATGGTGCGCCCTTTCTGATGACAACCTACTGGAAACACCATGGTTACGGACAAGGCGATGTATTGCCTGCACAGCTACATTGTAGTTTCAGTTTTACAGCACTGTGTTTTTACCAAGTTCACCGTAATCTTGTTCTTCTTAGATGGTCATTTGCTAAGTGGAAATCTATCGATATGTAATTCTTCTGAGACAAGTAATGTTTGAGAAGTGATTGTTTTGGGGGTGGTTGCAGGGAGGAAGGTCATTTCTAGGTCAAGATATAGTCACATTTAGGATGGAGCACCTGAGCCCCAGGTTCTGAAAGGCCTTTCAGAAACAAGTTCAATTCAGCAATTGGAACTAGTTCTTTGAAAGCATGTCTTTTTAAAGAAATTGTTATTTCTTTATGGATTGAACTGAACTGCTCTTCCTAGAACACACAGTAAGCTTGGCAAACTGTTTCCATAGAGCCTTCCTCTTTCTCAGGCCCATAGCCACAGTCGTCACAGGCTCCATATAATTTAATTTAAATGGTCTCTAGGTAGAACTCTCATGAAACGCATATAAAGCTAAAGTCAGCCTTGCCTTCCCAGTGAATAGGTGTTCTTTGTCACACTCAAGAACCAAACTAACTTTTGACTGGATAAAAAACTCAGATATCAGAACACAGGGCACCATGAAGCAAGGACACAGTTGGAGACAAAGCTCTCTCATGGAGTTAGCCTTGAGACCAATGAACCGGGAGGCCAGTCAGGGTTTTATTGCTTCTGTCCAAAGAACAATGCTGAATTTTCAGAACAAAGGCCAACTTACAAGGTTCTCCTGAAAAGATTATGAGTTCAGGCAGGACAAAATGAGATTAAGCTTCTTAAAATAAAACATAATGTTTTTAAAATAAAAAGTTCTTATAAGAACAAACATCATAAAAGACACCACTGTGACAAATTCAAATGGAAATAAATGACTTCTAGTGCCTTCTTCAAGGAACCCATGAGGAAAAACAAAAAACAAAAAGCAACAATCTCACAAATAAATGTTATATAAATCAACCGCTTATACATACCTGTACGATGCACTAGGGTCTTTTATCTGACAAGTTACATGTGTACCATATTGGGGAAAAGTAACTATTATTTTGAGAACAGTCATAAATCCGGACTCTTCCTTCCGTTTTCTGACACTTATATCAGAGCACACAAGAGACAATTTAGAAAATATCCTTCTAGTTCAGAGAAACCAGAAGCCATCTCTTGAATCCACCCACAGTGGTTTGTTTATTAATATGGTTGGGGACACAATTTATGATCCTTTATGATCAAATAAAGCATCCTTCCAAACATCACACAAGACTGGAACACAACTCTACATTTGTAAACGCACAAACAGCTCAGCCATATATTAAGTCTGTGACTTTAAGAAAGTTCCTTCCGTTTTCCTTGTCTTCAGAAGGTGGATTAGAACTGTTAAGAGGCGTAAACTTGGAAAAGTGTGTCAGAAGGGTTGGTACCTAGAGCTAAATAAATGTCAGCAAATATTTGTGTGCACATTTGACCTCTTTGACTGGGGAGACTTGCGAATAGAGAAAAGAAAATTTTGTTGGGAATGGTACGTCACTCCTGCAAAACCCGAGCTCTGGAGACTAAGGCAGAAAGGTTCTCAGGAGCTTGAATCTAGCCTAGCCTGCAGTGAGAGATGCTGTCAAGAAAGAAAAGGGAAGAAGGGGAGGAAGAGAGGTAGGAAGAGAAGAGAAACAAATGACTCAGAATCGGAATTTGGCCTTTACCCTGCCCCCCCCATGTTTAGTTGGTTTTCTTTTTTTTGTTTGTTTTTTAGAATTACAGTATAATTTGTAACTTCATGGGCTTCTGCTCTCCCCAACTTGTGTTCAAGCAGAAACTCACAAATGACAGCCATGCCCACACAGCTCAGCACACCGCTCTATGGGGAGCAGTCCGCATTCCCAGGCCTGCCAGCTGCGGCTCCCTGGCGGGAGCGCGGGGTTTTCGTCTGGGAGAGGCGGTGGCATCACGCCGCCTCGCGTCCGCGCCCGCCTCCGCTCCTGCGCTCTCCTGCCGGGCGGCCCAACGCCTCGTCCCGCCGCCCGCCCTTCCGAGCGTGCGAGCCTGGCGCAGGAGGCGGGCTCTGCGCTCACCGGCCTCGCCTCCGCAGCCGGAGGGAGGGAGGGAGGAGGCGGGAAGGCGGGCGCGGGCGGGGGAGGAGGCGGGACTACGGCGGGCCGTAGCTGGCGCCGAGCGCGGTGGGAGAGCAGCGGGTACCCGGCTGGCTTGGCTGGCGGCCTCTGCCCGCACCTCGGCGCCGCAGCCCCGCGTCTCTCTCGCCCTTGGCTTCGACTCTGCGGCCAGCGACTTAGAGGAGCCGGCGGGAACCCTGGATCACTGGTACGTTGGACGGGGACCGCCACTCCTTCTGCAACCTTTTGTGCTGCAGAGGTGGCGGTGGTGATGGGTGGAGTACGCGCGTGAGTGTGGGTGCCCCAGTCAGCGAGCCACTGTGCCAGCCCCAGGCACGGCGCCGCCCCTCCCTCCTCGCCTCGTGTCCCGGCTGGGCGAGCGGTGTCTGTGTGTGTGTGTGTGTGTGTGTGTGTGTGTGTGTGTGTGTGTGTGCAGCGCAGGGAAGCCCCGGCCGCGCCGGCCTGCTGGGTGGCTGGCATTGCAGCCTCGGTGGCCACCGGCTTCGAGGGGGGCCGGTCCCCGATCCCCAGTGCGGATGGCAGACTGGGGTGGGGCCCGCGCGGGGTGCAAGAGCCCGCAGCTTCCTGGCACAGGGGTGGGGCCGGCGAAGCCGGGAGTGTGCAGCGCGTGTGAGTGTGCGGGGGCGTGCGCCCCGTGTGCGCGCGGCGGGCGAGCGAGCGAGCGGACGAGCGGGCGTGCGCTCGCCGCCAACGTGCGGTGCGGGGAGACTCTGAGACCCGGAGCGGCGCTCCAGCGGTGCCGAGGTGCGGAAGTCTGGGTACGTTGGCGCATGCCATCTCGGCCGCTAGCGGTGCCCGCAGCGCCAGGCCCAGGGAAGCCCATTGAGAAGTAGCTCTTGCCCGGCCTGTCGCGCCTCTGGCCCCAACGGTGTGCGGGCTACTACTGCGGGGGCCAGATAACGCTTGGCGGGAGCCCAGACGACCTTATCGCGCCCGCCCTGTGCGCGCTGCACCCCGCGGGCGAGGCCGAGACCGGCGTGGCGGGGAACGGTCGGGCCACCCGGCGGTGGCGTCTGTGGACTGTGGATCGCGGCCCGGTGCTGGCCCGAAACTCCCGCGGCAGATGTCTCGGGCACCGCCGCCCTCGCCCCACCTGTCGCGGGTGGACTTTGGGGCGGTTGGGAAGCGTAGAAAAGGGCATCTGGTGGCGGGCAGCGGACAGACCTTGAGAAGCAGCCCATTGTGAAGCTGCCAAAGTCGCTCTAGTGGTGGAATCTGCAAATCTCGGCCACAAGGCCAGAAAAGAGCCCGGGTCGCGGAGGGAACGACGGCCGCGTGCTTCCCCGCCCTGGCAAGTGTCTGGCTCGCTAGAGACTCCAGGGCTCTCCTCCCACGCCGCTTTGCTCCGGGTGGGCTCTCGATCTCTGCAAAGCCGGGATTTGCGCGCGCGTGTGTGTCTGTGTGTGTGTGTGTGTGTGTGTGTGTGTGCGCGTGTGTGCGCGCGCGCGGGCGCGGGCGTGTGCGAGGTTGGGAGACACAGGGAACACTGGAGCTGAACTTTTTCATCCTTTGAAGAGGAGTAAGAATGGAAACAGCAACATTGCATATTGTTAGCTGCTCCTAGCAGGGAGTGCAGATCCTGCAGAAGATCTCCGAGGTTTCTAAACTTCGTTTTACGTTGATTTTCCTCAAGAAAGCCGCTCTGTAATTGACGGTGGCGAGGTACTTTATGGTGGTACAAGAATGTAGACACTAGGGGTTGGGAACCACCCCTTCACAAAGTTTATTTTCGCAATTAGTTCAAAACACGGTTATTATCCAGGATGCTTTGGGTCACAGTGTGTGCTTACTTTCTTTTAATGAATGGAGGTTCCGCTGATTTTTTTTTTTTAATGGTACCTTGGATTATAAACAAAACCGAGAGGATGAAATGTAAGCGTTCATGAATGGGCACGAAGACCACTTAACTTTGGTAAGAGCTGGTGCATAGACTGTGATTTTGGTATGTTCATTTAATTGTAAATGGGACAGTTAGCAATAAATCTCCCAAGGTGTAAGGTATACCCACCGGCATTACTGACAGCCAGTAAGCTAACATTATGTGCTCCATGTTTTCGAAGAGTACCTTAACATTAAGTCTTAAAAGTAATTGGTGTGATGAGAACAGTAATTTACAGGTGCTATTTAATGTTTTGTTTCCTCATTTGTAGCCTTGGTTATTTTCTCAATGAGTACCCAGTTTTCAGCTTTTCTTTGGAACTTGCATCACCTCCACCATAGACTTCTGTCCCCCTGTGGCTATGCTTCCAGAAGCGGGAGGATTCTTGTAAAGACTTCGTGTAGACTTGTGGTTTCAGCTATTGTCAGACATGTTTAGGGGGAAGCTGAATATGATGTAGTAACGTGGGTTTGATTTTAACTAGCAGAGGTAGAAACAAAATGAGTGCCGGGCACTTTAAGGGAGTTGCTATTAAGAGAACTGATACTAGAAAGAGGAACATGTTTATGTCTTACTGAACCAATTATGGGTCGCCTTACCATGCTGGGAAGGTTGATGGTTTGTTAGTAAGGTCAAAGAAGACCTTTAAAAAGTCACACCGTACTTACTAACTGCCCTTCTAAACCCTTCGTGGTTTAATTTTACAAACTGGGGAAAGATAGGAAGGTAGGAAGTGGTCTCCATGGTAAGAGCCCGTGGCTTCGGCTAAGCATTTTCTTTTCCACCCAGTGCTGCAATCTGGCAGCTGAACCATTTTATTTTTGTTCAGTGTTTTACTTGAAGAACGTTTTGGTCCCTTATTTATTTTAGAGTAGGCTTTGAGAGCAGAAGAATATTTTGCTTACGAAGCATTTTCACTACTTGAACTAGAATTTCCCCTGCTCCAGGGTCTCTCCTCCAAGTCCCAGGTTTTGGGTGAATTAAAACTCATCACTTAATACTCTACTTTTTTCTCCTACGAAATTCTGTCTTTTCCCAGTACCATCTTTAATTAGTAGTGGAATTTATTAAAATGTATGGTGCCTCCATATATATGTATATATGTATATAAAGCATATATACTATATATGTATATATAGTGTTAAAATTTACCATTTTTTTGATATTTAGTTAGTGGATGTGGGTTGATGCCTCAAGTATAGCAATTCAGGATTTAAGAGTAGAGCATTTGTTTAGAACTGAACATTTCCACTTTCTTTGCTTTGTGGGAAGAAGGAAACTTTGGGGTTGCTGGCGTTGTTCCCATTTGCTGTTGCACAGATGAAGTTTGTGTTTCCTGACCTTATGCTTGCCCCCTCCCCTTGCTTCTATGTACTCAAGAAATATTGCTGAGTGGTCTGATATGTCATTGAGTGAATGACTGGGTGGATGCACCTTCCAAAGTCCACAAGCGGAAAGATGTCTTTCCCTTTATAAACCCCGTACCTTTTTTTACTGCTTTGTATGATTCTGGAATAGGGTAGCAATATGTTTCTCATCCGATGGTATTTGAAGGTCCAAGAGGTTCCACAGATAGTTATGCCAGGGTAGGAACTGTGAACCAATGTGTTTCTTTTTGAAGGGCTTTATTATACTCACTGTAATGATGCACATCATTTACCAGTTCGTGTTGGAAACTTGCTGTACTTGTGGAGCCTCCTTGCAGTCAGTGTTGGATGTCTTCCCCTCTTCCTTACCTGTGACTTCCCTGCCAACAGTAGCTGGCTGCACTTGGTGATGTTTAAGTTACCTGTCCACATAGTTTACAGAGCAATGTCGTGGAGCTTTCTGTTTGTTTCAGCTCTTGCTATGGGAAACATTGTATCTTCAAGCTTTAGGTTTATTGACTTTAGTCTGTTTTTCTATTCCTTCCCCCCCCCCTTAAGAATTTGTAAACAGTCTTTTCCATTCAAAGTACAAGCCTTCAAATGCCAAGATAAAACCAGAGTCATTTTCGTTTTGGGGATGTATAGATTTTTAAAGTATTCTACAAATGGATGATTTTATTTGAGAGTTATATTTTTGGGGTTGCTTTATTAAAGCTTTTAATCTCTGTTTTAGGAATTGGTAGTGAAACCTTTGCTTTAATTCTAGGTGGGTAGCTCTATATGCTGTCTCAAAGTAGGTATGTAAGTACAGTATTTCTTGGCTCCGTTGTACTTATTTTGTGTCTTTTTCTTCACTGTATCATTTCTCCCTTCCTGGTGCCTGTGTCTAGCTGATACTCAGTTACACACAAATAGAAATGCCAGGAGCGAAAATGAGGACCAGGCAGATGCTTCTATACTTGGCTCACCTTGGGTCACTGCTGAGGGATCTGTTCTATTTTTGACTTGGCAGTGGCAAACTAGGGATAATCAGTCACTACACTTTGCTCATTATGAAATTAGAGACCGTTTCCTAGAATTCATCATGAGCCCAGTGATGTTTGATAATTGCTTTAAGGTTCCTCTGCTTTCAGTTTTTGACTGAGGGTTTAACCAGGTCTTTCTATTGGTGTTAAAAAATGTTCGGAAGTATAAATATTGTTCTAGTGCTTCTAAACACTCGGAAAGAATATGCCACCAAATACCTGGCATAAATTATGTGACAGTTGAAAGGAAATTTAAAACTTTCTTTATTCAAAATTAAGGCATCGTATAAGGCAGACAAAAGGCATTCGCATTTTTCTAATGTTTCCTTTTGCTTTTCAATCTAAGTTTGTAAGACTCTGTGTCAGATTTCTCTCACTTTATAAGTAGTGTTGCCCTGGCATCCAACTGTAGAATAGCCAGTAGCTTGCAAATGTTGTTGGAGATTTTTTTTCCTGCCATACTATTTGTCTTTCTTAGGATTACTGTTGCTGTGGTGAAACACCATAACCAAAGCAACTTGGGGACAAAAGGGTTCATTTGGCTTAAACGTCTACATCTTAGTCCATTCCATGGGAACACAAGCAGGGCTGGAGTCTGGAAGCAGGAAGTGATGCAGAGGACTTGGAG